TTACCAACTTTGATACTGCTCTTGAAGGATTGATAAAAAAATAATACATCGAAGACAAAGGGTAATGTTAATTAATTAATTAATTTTAATAATTAATTATTTATTTATTTATTTATTTATTTATTTATTTATTTATTTGAATTAATTCATTAAGATAAAATTAGTATAAATACATTCCATGAAAATATTGTAAGTAAAAACCTTTAAGTAAGTAAGTAAGTAAGTTAATGATCACTTTCTATGCTAAAATTAATTAGCTATAATAAATTATAATTAATAATTACCTTAATAACAAACTTCTCTACATATTTATAATTGTTTTATATATGAAATGATTTATATATATTTTAGTAACATCTCAAAAAATTTTTGTTCTTAAACAACAATTATATAAAACTTACTTTTTATTTTTTATTTAAAATTAACTATATTTATTATTACAAAGAAAAAATATCAATCTATATTTTCTCATTAATTAACACCAATATTTTTTTGTAGTTTTAATTGATTGATGTAAATAATTTATAATAAAACAATTTCAACAAATAAATTTACTTAACCTCTTGGTTAAACTTAATTCTTCATTTATTTTTTTATAGAAAAATACAACTAAATTAATTTACTACTTTCAAGAATATAAAATATATATTAGATAAATTTAGTATAGCAAGATGCCATTCAAAAATTCCGTTGTTTGGATGTCACTTAATAATTAATTAATCTATTTATAAATTTTTCAGAAATATTTTGATAATTAATTGGGATTTAAGGTAAATGATCTCCATCATATAGATTTTATTTTTAAAAAATAAAATTTTGAAAGAAAATCTGTAAAACATGGTTTGGTATGTCTAAAATAAGAATAAATGAAGATAAATAGTTATTTTGTTTAATTATAATCAAATAGTAGAAATTCCATATCATAAAATTTATTAATAAACTAAATTAGCTTTTTTTAAAGTTAATCTTAAATTTATTTTCATTTAATAAAATAATACAAAATGAATTCTTATTATTTTTTATTTTTAAAAAAAATTAAAATTTTTATTTGATAGAGAAAAAAATAAAAGATAAATTTTATATATTTAAAAAAATTTAAACTGTTTATATTAATTAACCTTAATATAAATAAAGACTACATATTACAAAATACTAAATGAAAATATTAATATTTCTAGTTAAATATTTTTAAAAATTAAAATAAATAAATATTTTATTTAACTGAAAAAATCTATATCTTTTAATTTTATTTCAAATAATTTATTAAGTTTTTTTTTGAAATTATTAAAATATATTTTTAGTTAAATAATTTATTTATGTATTTAAGTTACTAAATTAATTATGCATATTTAGTAAATTATTTGTTTGTTTAAAATTCACAAATTTTTATCAACTTCTGACTAATAAATCAAAAGAAATTAATAGAAACTAATATTATCAAGATATGCAAAATAGCATGGAAAACCTAAGTTAAATCAAACAAAAAGCGAGGTCCGAACTCAGTGGGTAAAAATAGTGAATCATGATTGTAAGTACAGTTGATAGATGTAGATGTCATCATTACAATTATATAAAGCATAAAGCACTGGTAACCACTCATCTACTTAATTAACTAACTT